AAAAAAAACTGTTTAAACTCTTGCCTGGGGCTTCAAAGGGCCGCCCTACAGCTGATCAGTGTTAAAAGGCAGTGTGGTGGTAGACCAGTGCCTCCAAAAACAAATGGGTAGACCAGTGCCTCCAAAAACAAATGGGTAGACCAAGACACTCCGAAAACAAATGGGTAGACCGGTACAGCTCTGCAGGCAGTTAAAAGCCTGGTAGACCAGTACCTCTGCTAAATCCTAAAGAATTGTCACATGACCATCAAGCCACGCCCACAAAATAAGCCACGCCCACAGAACCGGTAGTAAAAAGATTTAGAACCCACCCCTGACGTGATCCTCTTTTGCGACCTTCTGACAAGCAAAATCAATGGGGAACCAGATTCACTTAACAATCGTGTTACTAATTTAACAACTGCAGTGACCCATTTAACAACGGTGGCAAGAAAGGTCCTAAAATGGGGCAAAACTCACTTAACAAATATCTCTCAGCAACAGAAATGTTGGGTTCAATTGTGGTCGTAAGCCGAGGACTACCTGTATATGAAAATAAATACAGAAATTCGTTTACTGTCATTTTTCTACAGGGAGATACAGTGGATTTCTCTGCAGAATGGATTCCGTGAAAAGTAATCTTTCCAATCAAATTCAGGGTGAATTCTTCACTGTGACGCTGAGAATCAAACTGATTCTGATCTGATATATTGTGGCCTCTCATTCCTGGAAAATATCGTTACTCAGCCTTGATAAAGCCTTAATTGAAGTTAAACAGTTTGGCATTTAGATTTAAAAAACGACAGAGCCAAAATCACCACAATAATCTGGTGCAATTGCAGGTTCTTTCTGGACAATTCTTAGCTCCCTCTACAATATCTTCCATATTCCACAGGAGATATTTTATCTTGGATCAAATTGGCACATGACCAGGGGTGAAATGCTCCCAGTTCGGACCGGATCGCCCAATCTGGTAGCGATGGAGGCGGGTGGTTCAGAGAACCGGTAGCAAAAATCCCTGCCCCCCCCCTTGCACAGCTGAGCTGTGCAATCATCAGAGGCTTTTTTTTTTTAATTTTTAAAAGCATTTTAAACCTCTACAACCTCTTCGGCCAAAAAAATGCTTTTAAAAGTAAAAAAAAAGCCTCTGACGATCCCAGCTGAGATACTGATCAGCAGAGGCTTTTTTTCTTTTAAAAAGCCTCTGACGATCCCAGCTGAGTTGCCTAATCGGCAGAGGCTTTTTTTCTTTTAAATGCCTCTGACGATCCAAGCTGAGTTGCCTGATCGGCAGAGGCTTTTTTTCTTTAAAAGCCTCTGACGATCCCAGCTGAGTTGCCTGATCGGCAGAGGCTTTTAAAAGAAAAAAAGCCTCTGCCGATCAGGCAACTCAGCTGGGATTGTCAGAGCCTTTTGAAAGCATTTTTTTACAACCTCTTCGCCAAAAAGGTTGTAGAAAAAATGGTTTTAAAAGTTTAAAAAAAAATTGGCCACACCCACCCAGCCACATTCCTTTCCCCCCACCAAGCCACGCCCAGAGAACCGGTAGTAACAAATTTTAGACTTCACCACTGCACATGACCTATTATGGAAACCACAGGTAGTCCTTGGTTAACAATGACCGTAGCAATGGAATTTCTGTCGTTAATCAGTGCAGTTGTGGAGTGCACTATAACATGGCTGGGCACTTAATGATGGCAATTCCAGCCCTTCCGGTTGCTGCTGTTGAATGAATCCCATAACATTTTTAAGTGCGATGTCACACCGTCACCATTTACAATCTCTTGCCAGCTTCCCATGGACTTTGCTTCTTGGAAGCAAATCACATGACCTTTGGATGCTCTGATGTCATAATTGGGTGCGGAGCAGTGCTGGGTTTCAAAAATTTTTACTACCGGTTCTGTGGGCGTGTGGTGGGCTTGGTGGGCGTCAGGCTTGGTGGCTCATGGCACCATCCTGAAGGATACTGCGAAATCTCCATTCCCACCACACTCCTGGGGGAAGGAGACTGCAAAATCCCCATTCCCTCCCTACTCCAGAGGAAGGATACTGTAAAATCTCCATTCCCTCCCCAATCCAGGGGAAGGTTACTTCAAAATCCCCATTCCCTCCTGATCTGGGACTTGGGAGGCAGAGAATAGATGGGGGCAGAGCCAGTCAGAATTTTTACTACCGGTTCTCCGAACTACTCAAAATTTTCACTACCGGTTCTCCAGAACTGGTCAGAACCTGCTGAAACCCACCTCTGGTGCGGGGCACTGAGCCTCCAGATTGTGATCACATGATTTTGGGGTCGCTGCGATGGACATCTCTACAAGGACGGGTCATAAGTATTCGTTCAACACCGTCATAAATTCAAATGGTTGCTGAACAAGGATAACCTGTATAGACAAATATATTAGTCTCCTATACAACAGTTATACACTATATGCTCAAATAGAGACAAATCAGTGAACAACAAGTTTTGTCAGGCCCAAAACCAGGATTAACACACGTTGGTTCTTCCAAGTTGAATTCTTTGTTGTTTCCACACCTATAGACAGAATCTTGCCAGACTAAGCACTTTACTATTTACATCTACCATATACTCTGGGAATTATTAGGGAGGGACTGTCCTCGCCTTCTTTCTCTCCCACAAAATATCTGGATTGGGTTGTCTCTTAGTTCCTTCGGAATGTACCCCTCCCTCCTGGGAATCCACCTCCCTACTACATTCCATCACAGCTGTTCAATGTTTGTAGAAGTCTTACGCTAGAGGTTGTGAACAACACTGTACTAGGAATAGTACAGCTGGAGGCTCCAGCTGGTCCAGAATGCAGCCACGGGGGTAATTATGGGGCGACATGGCGCTCCCATGTAACACCTCTCCTGCGCGAGCTGCACTGGCTCCCGGTGGTCTTCCGGGTGTGCTTCAAGGTATTGGTTCTCATCTTTAAAGCGCTCCATGGCTTAGGGCCCGGATATTTACGAGACCACCTTCTGCCACCGATACCCTCCCACCGGCCAATCCGCTCCCACAGAGAGGGTCTCCTCAGGGTGCCGTCGGTCAAGCAATGTTGACTGACGACCCCCAGGGGAGAGCCTTCTCTGTGGGGCACCCGCCCTCTGGAACGAGCTACCCCCAAGGATACGACTGATCCCGGACCTCCGTACTTTCCGCCGAGTGTGAAGACCTTATTTCAGCAAACCGGGCTGGCTTAAAATTTTAATGGGCTATTTTATGGGTAAAGGGTTTTAAAATTTAGGGAAGCCAAACTGATCTAATTCTGTTTTAATTTATTTTAATTTTTATACTGTATGTATTTTAATTTTGGCTGTTCACCGCCCTGAGTCCTTCGGGAGAAGGGCGGTATACAAATTTAATAAACCATAAACCATAAACCAGAGAGACTCAAGTGCCAGACCCTGCTCAGCCACAGAAACTCCCTGTGGCTTTGGGACAGTCCCTTCCTCTCAGCCCAAGAACCTGGTGATCTAGTGGGGAAGGTAGTGGATTAGGAGCGGGAAGATCCAAGTTCTAATTCCCCATCAGCCCCAGAACTTCCTTGGGGGATTTCGGCCGGATGCTTCCCTCTTAAGCTAAGAGGTTACCCATGAAATATGTTGTTTCTCTAGTAGCTGAAGAATTTCAGGAATTGCAGTCCACCTCATATTGAGGAAGGCAGATGTGAATGATATCATGGAGAGAAGTTGAGTCATTGCAATTGATGTGAAACCCTTGGCATGTAAACGAGGAAGCACCGGAAGTTGGAAAAGTTTCTTTCTGCTTTCCAGAAAGAGCCAACTGGGGGGAAAAGGTGTGTCAGTCCACTCCTTGTGTAAAGCCTGGAAAGAATGACGACAAATATAACCATCCAATGAATGAGGCTGGCACTTATCAGCTGGAAAATTGAAAGTCCCTCAAATGAAATATCCCAGAAACCTTGAGCTGGCCAAACCTTAGATCTGATCCCAGATTTTTCTCTTTTAATGTTTGATTTTCATTTACTATTTCAAGGGTCTCTAATCTACCCTATATCTGCCTATTCTAAAGGTAAAGCCTTCCCCTGTCCAGACATGTCTGACTGTAGGTGATGGTACTCATCTCCATTTCTTAGCCAAGGGAGCCAGCAGGGTCTAAAGACATTTCCGTGGTCATGCGCCCAGCGTGACTATATGCCTATTCTACTTCTACAATTAGCATGTGTGATCGTCTGCAATGAAAAAACACTGCATCTGGCAATACTACCTGGGCTCATCTGCAAAAATATTGGAGTGGCAGTGGGTAGGGGAAAATGAGGGGCTGGGGCAAGGAATTCACAGAAAAGAGGCATTAAAAAGGGAATTGAGAGGCATAAGGGAAATGATGGAGTAAGGATGTTCTCAGAGGTAGTTCTAAGGTACCGTAAGGGAGACGGGCTGAAGTCTGCCGAAAGATGGATTGTGTAGGACAGAGATCAGCAACCTGTGGCTCTGGAGCCGCATGTGGCTCTTTCACCCCTCTGCTGTGGCTCCCTATCACTCAAAATATGCGTCACCACCACCATGTGCGACACACGCCAGCACACGATTTATTGAACTTTTCAACCCCCGGTCGCCAACCATGGATAAATCCAAGAAAAGAAAAGTTTCAGAAGAAAACAGAACGTTTAATTCAACTACATATGCTAGTTTTGTGGCCGCTCAAAAAATAGTCAGGCACAGGAAGGGTTTTGTGGCTCCCGGTGTTTTCTTTTCTGTGGGAAACTGGTCCAAATGGCTCTTTGAGTGTTTAAGGTTGCAGACCCTGGTGTAGGAGAAGAGCAGGCTCAGCTGGAAGGGGAGTCAAACGTGTCATAAGTTTGGAATCACTGTGTTGCCACAAGAGACCCAAATCCAGCCCTCTCCCCATGAATTCTGTTGACCCTTATCTACTAGTGCCAATTTAGTTTTGACTGTAAATTGACTAGATTCTTATATATAGATAGATAGCAGTAATGAACTCTTCTGCAGTTTGAATCAAGAGTTGGGGTCTATACTAACTTGACCCTTCTTTTCTTTAGGGCCTCTTCTTCCGCCTCTTCTACCCTTGTGTCCCTCAGGGTGAAGCCAAGGAGCCTAACTGGATTCCCCGCTATGAATATTACTCCGGATTAGCTGACTACATGAGCTTGAATAGTAAATGGTTTGCTCCACTTCTCAGTGTTACATTTGGTAAGATAACCGTTCTCTTGTGAGTTACTGAGTGAAACGTACGTTGACCCCACAACTGTTCTTCTGCCTCATCCACTGCTTTTCAATCAAGGTGGTTTTAAGATCCATGGACTTCAACTCCCAGAATTCCCCAGCCAGCATTTTGAAGTCCACAGATCTTAAGGCCACCATGGCTGAGAAACACTGGCCTAACCAAGCTTGAGATTGGGACAAGGAAGGTTGTAAAATGGGGCAGAACTCACTTAACAAGTGTTTCGCTTAACGACAGAAATTTGGGGCTCAGTGGTGGTCATAAGTCGAGGACTATCTGTATAGACCAGGGGTCCCCAAACTTGGCAGCTTTAAGACTTGTGAACCAGCACAGCTGGCTGGAGAATTCTGGGAGTTGAAGTCCACAAGTCTTAAAGCTGCCAAGTTTGAAGACCTCTGTATTAGATCATAATAAATCATGTTCATATATTTTTTCATTGTTAATATTATCTATTGTCCCATAAATGTGGGATCATGGTCTTGATGATATCTCCCCCCAAATAATAATCCATCCATTTAAAGCATATTTTTTAGAAATCATCAAGCAACCAAAAGTAGATGTTTGATGATTTTTTTTAAAAAGATGCCTTAAATAAGTGAAGCGATTTAGCCAGTTAGCTTATTTCCGCACCATGTTTACTATTTAAATCTAAAGAGCGTCTATTTCCCCCCAAAATAAGACATCCCCTGATAATAAGCCCAATCGGGCTTTTGAGCGCATGGCAATAAGACCAAGTGCTTATTTCAGGGTTCAAAAAAAATATAAGACAGGGTCTTATTTTCGGGGAAACACGATATGTACATACAGTACCTACTGTTTGTCTTCTGGACATGTGTATCCAACTAATGTGCTAACTGATAGGAAAATATTTTTGGTTTCCAATTTTACAGTTTTACAGTAGTTTTTGACTGTACAATTCAATTTGTTCATACTGAACTACAGTCTTCCTTTCTAATTGTACTTTCCAAGCCTTGTTCAAACTGAAAAAAGAAACCCCAATGTTTTCGTAAAGCATGTTTATCATCTTTAGGGAAGTAGGTTAGAAATTTCTCAATAACTGCCTTGATAAAGTCATACTTCTACAACCCAAGGGAACACATATTATCTTTAGTAACCTTTTGTCAAGAGAGATGGGCAGTTGAGAAATAGCATATACAGCAGAGGTGAAATGTAAAATTTGTTACTACCAGTTCTGTGGGCGTGGGTTGGTGGGGTGGGTGTAATGTGATGGTGGGCGTAGCCAACTTTTTTTCTTTTTAACTTTTCAAAGCATTTTTTCTAATGCTTTGAAAAGCCTCTGCCGATCAGGCAACTCAGCTGGGATCATCAGAGACTTTTCAAAGCATTTTTTCCCCACCTTTTCGGCCAAGAGGTTGCAGAAAAAAATGCTTTGAAAAGCCTCTGACGATCCCAGCTGAGCCGCGCGATCATCAGAGGCTTTTTTTTTTTTTTTTACTTTTAAAAGCATTTTTTCATCGGAAGAGGTTGTAGAAAAAATGCTTTTAAAAGTTTTTTTAAAAAAGCCTCTGATGATCATGTGGCTCAGCTGGGCATGGTGGTGGGGGTACAGGGATTTTTGCTACCGGTTCTCCGAACCACCCACCACCATTGCTACCGGATCGGGCAATCCGGTCCGAACCGGGAGCATTTCACCCCTGATATACAGGTAGTCCTGGACTTACAACAGTTGGTTTAGTGACCATTCAAAGTTACAACAGCACTGAAAAAAGGGACACGACCATTTTTCACACATATGACTGTTGCAGCATCCCCACGGTCACGAGATTTACATCCGATGCTTGACAAGTAGTTCATACTTATGACGGTTACAGTGTCACGGGGTCACCTGATCCCCTTTTGCGACCTTCTGATGAGCAAAGCTGATGGGAAAGCCAGATTCACTTAACAACCGTGTTTCTAATTTAAGTAATTCACTTAACAAATGTGGCAAGAAAAGTTTTAAAATGGGAAAAAACTCACTTAACAAATTTCTCACTTAACAATGTAAATTTGGGGGCCGCTTGTGGTCGTAAATCAAGGAGTACCTGTATGCAGAGGTGGGTTTCAGCACCGGTAGCAGAAATTTTGAGTAGTTCGGAGAACTGGTAGTAAAAATTCCAACTGGCCCCGCCCCCATCTGTTCTCTGCCTCCCAAGTCCCAGCTGATCAGGAGGAAATGGGGATTTTGCAGTAACCTTCCCCTGGATTGGGGTGGGAATGAAGATTTTACAATATCCTTCCCCTGCCATGCCCACTAAGCCACGCCCACCAAGCCACACCCACAGAACCGGTAGTAAAAAATGTTGAAACTCCTGTATGTATAAATAAACATGTGTTTCATTTTTCACAGGATCGTGTAAGATCCCTGTAAGCTGGGATGCACCTTTCCGACCCTCTTCACACAAATATCCATTGATCATATTCTCCCATGGACTAGGAGCCATTCGGTGAGTTTGTACATGTGGGGTGGAAAACCAGTTCAGGAAGGCCAAGGATGAGGATGCTGGTTTTGGTACGCGAGTCTGAGATCTTTGAATGATATTCATGGAAATCTAGTAGATCCTATATGACTCTTATCCGCTTTATAGCAGAGGCCTTGATCTCCTTCTCTCTGTCTCAGTAGGATAATCAGCAGGGCTCAAATCTCTTCTTTTGCCATTTCCAAACCTCCTTTCTGACTTTGTCACTAACTTTGGGCAGGAGGTGACCAAAAGCGGGTGACCAGTTTTCCTCCATATATCCTTGCATGCAGACTTCTCATTTAATAATACAGTCAATCCCTCTCCCCAAAACAGGGGTAGGAAAGCTAAATCTCATAGGGAGAGCAGAAGTTGGCCACACTGGAATATCGCCCCAACTCTCCTGCTTCAGGTTTCAATTACTGATTCACATACAATGACTATGCTATATCTCAGTTTACCCAAGCTCAAGAGATCATAGTAGGCAGACCAATATAGAATCTTGGATGCTTGCCTGGATGAATTGCTTTTAAATAGAAACATACAGTAGAATAGTTCAGAATCAGTCTAAATTTCCAAAATCCAGATCAGGGTAGTCACCCACTCCTAAGATTCAAGGTTCCTTATACCACACACGAGCTGGAATTCAGATGTTGTTTCCAGGAAAGAACATGGTTCAGGACTGCTTCTTAAATCAGGATGCAGTCAACTGTTGTCAATCAAGAGATATATAAAATAACAAGCCCTTCCCTCTACTTGCTGGATATGGCGACGGGGAGGCCCCATGTCATCAAAATTATCTGACTGCCAAGCTCCTCCGGAGTTTGATCAGCCTGAGGTGACTTTTGGCTTTGTGTCTCCTGAGACTGACATTCCACAAGTTGTGCTGAAGCCTTCTCTTGAACACCTGAGTTTTCTCAGTCCTGGGCCATGACCCCTACCTAGTAACAATGCCACCATATAGTGCTCCATAGCCCTTTACAGCACTCTCTGAGTGGTTTACAATGTAAGCATTATTTCCATATTGAGCCAGTCAAGATTGAACTCCAGGCAGTGGGCAAAGTTTGCTTGCATTATTGTATTTAAACCACTGCACCCCCTGGGCTCCTAAGTCTTCAGTCATCCCGTGAAGCATTAAAAAGTTACAGGCCACAGCCACCCTGAAGCTATCCCTGATACCCTGTTTTCCCGAAAATAAGACATTCCCTGATAATAAGCCCAATCAGGCTTTTGAGCACATGCGTTAAAATAAGCCTCCCCCTAAAAATAAGCCCTCCCCGAAAATATTTAAACGCAGAGCTGGAAATCAGGTAAGACGGCAAGAGGAGCCCCGTCTTGCTCCACGCACCCCAAAATCAAGACTTCCCCAAAAATAAGGCTAAGTGCTTATTTCAGGGTTCAAAAAAATATAAGACAGGGTCTTATTTTCGGGGAACCACAGTATATGCCAATGAAATGACTCTACTTATTATTATTATTATTTTTTAATTTGATTTATATGCCGCCCTTCTCCGGAGACTCAGGGCGGTTTATAATGTGTTAAGCAGTAGCCTTCATACTTTTGTATATTTATACAAAGTCAGCTTATTGCCCCCACAAACTGGGTCCTCAATTTATCTACCTTAGAAAGGATGGAAGGCTGAGTCAACCTTGAGCCTGGTGAGATTCGAACTTGCAGTAATTGCAGACAGCTGGTGTTAATCACAATGCTATCAGTCTTCTGAGCCACCAGGCCCTACTTATGCAGTTTACTTGCTGCTCCTCTTTTGGCTGTTGTGGGATATCCCCCCCCCCCCCGTGATATTTGTAGGGCTCCCCTCTTAGAGCGGTTCTGAAAGTCACTAAAAACATGGCTATGATATCTGGGTTAAGGTGGAGGCTGAGCCTTTTTTTTTTAATGGCTTGAGGTATATAATACAGGCTTATTTTTCTGTATGGACATGTTTCAATTATTGTTTAACAGATTAACAGATTAATAGAGCCTTGGTAGCACAGTGGACTAATGCACTGTTATTAACATCTGCTGCTTGCAATTACTGCAAGTTCAAATCCCACCAGGCTCAAGGTTGACTCAGCCTTCCATCCTTTCAAAGGTAGGTAAATTGAGGACCCAGTTTGTGGGGGCAATAAGATGACTTTGTATAAATATACAAAAGTATGAAGGCTACTGCTTAACGCATTGTAAGCTGCCCTGAGTTTCCGGAGAAGGGCGGCATATAAATTAAAGCAACAAAAAAAAAAGGTTGGAAGGGACTTTATAGGTCATCTAGTTCAACCACCACGGACCCACCCCACTCAAGCAGGAGACCCTACACCATTGTGGGGATGTCTTTGTGTGTATTGTAAGCTGCTCGGTCTTTTGGGGTGCAGGTGGCCTCCAAAAGAAATAAAATGGTCCATATCTGCTGCTCTAAGCGGGGTGGAGAGAAACGCCTGAATGTTGTGGGTTGAAGAAGGGGAGGAAAGGGTGAGACATGCAGATGCCGAGAGATTATTTTTTGATGGAGGGCAGGCAAGTTAAACAATTATCCATGTGGGAGCTGAGAAAGTCAAAAGGGGCCGTGGGGAGAGAGAGGGAGGGAGGGAGGGGCCTAGGCATTGCCAAGGTTTGAGCAAGTTCAGGGGCCACTGACTCAAAATGCAGAATGTTTTAAGGGGAAGTGGTAAATGCCAGAGGTTAAACAGGGAAACCTCAGGCTAACCAACCAGCCACATCTTGGGGCTCTTCCTAAGAGATCTTCTCCAGCCGTCCTGCCTGAAATGCTTCTGATAGCAATAGCATCTTCTAAGCCAGGGGTCTGCAACCTTAAACATTCAAAGAGCCATTTGGACCCGTTTCCCACAGAAAAGAAAACCCTGGGAGCCACAGAACCTGGGTGGGCGTGGCCAACTCAATGTCACTCACTTCCACCAGCCACATGACACACACCCCAGCCACGCCTACCCAGCCAGTCATTAGGGCAGAGAACTGGTTGTTAAAAAACACTGGGAACCACAAAATTCTTTTGACATCTCTTTCTCTCTCCCTCTCTTCCTCCCCCCTCTCTCTGTATCTCTCTCTTCCTTTAATGACCATGACAAAACCACCATAAAATTGAGCGTGTCCCACATCATCACTGCATCGCTTAATGACAGACGTTCCGACCCCAATTGCGGTCATAAATTGAGGATTACTTGTAGTTTCATTTTGCTTAGAGCTAGAGTACTGTTTTTCAATCTTGGCCACTTTAAGATGTACGGACTTCAAGGAATTCTGGGAGTTGAAGTTTATATATCTTAAAAGTGGCCAAGTTTGAAAAAGTCAGGGCTGGAGCAGTGGTGGGTTCCTCCCGATTCGGCCCGGTTCTGCCGAGCTGGTAGCGGTGACGATATGATGTCACCGAAGTGGTTCTGCACCCCCCACCCCACCCCCGCATTATTCTTACCTTTTATTTGGCCCCACACCTGCCTCCTGAGTCCCAGCTGATCAGCTAGAAGGAAAAAAACTGTTTAAACTCTTGCCGCTGGGATTCAAAGGGCCGCCCTACAGCTGATCAGTGGTAAAAGGCAGTGTGGTGGTAGACCAGAGCGCTCGAAAAACAAATGGGTAGACTGGTACAGCTCTGCAAGCAGTTAAAAGCCTGGTAGACCAGTACCTCTGCTAAATCCTAAAGAATTGTCACATGACCATCAAGCCACGCCCACAAAATAAGCCACGCCCAAAGAACCGGTAGTAAAAAAATTTAGAACCCACCCCTGGGCTGGAGGATACCTAATTAAGGAAACATCTGCAAGAAACATCTGAAACCCTGGAACTGGCTGAACAATAATCCTCTAAAAATCCATCTGGTCCTTCAATTGTGTACTTCACAATCACCATCTTGATTTTTGTATCTACTGCTACCGCCTTATTTTTTTTCTTCATCTTTGCTGATGTGTTCATTTCAGGACCAAATAATTTGAAAGAAGCTGCGTTCCTCAGTTTTAATAATCTGCTTTCTCCTTCAATTTTCAGAACCGTATACTCAGCTATCTGCATTGAGATGGCTTCTCGGGGGTTTTTGGTGATGGCTCTTGAGCACAGGTGAGACTGAATCCCTTCAGAGATGGCATTTTAAGATTAGATTTGTGAATTTATGGTGGTTTTTAAAAAAAATATTTGCCTTTGATCAGGGGTAAAATTTACTTATGTTCCCTACCGGTTTGCAAGTGTGCGCGCGTCGTGTGCGCACTTTGCTCACACGCACTGCTGTCCGTGCATGCGCAAAACCTACGCATGTGCAGAGGCCGAAAATCATCGCAAAAAAGGGACATCATCACGTCCGCGCTGGTGGGCGGGGCTTGACACAGTCGGTTCTACCGTATCGCATGATCCTGTAGGAACCGGCTGAATTTCACCCCTGCCTTTGATGCATCTATGCACATCAGGGGTGAAATCCAGCAGGTTCTGACAGGTTCTGGAGAACTGGTAGCGGAAATTTTGAGCAGTTCGGAGCAAATACGACCTCTGGCTGGCCCCAGAGTGGGGTGGGAATGGGGATTTTGCAGTATCCTTCCCCTGGAATGGGGTGGGAATGGAGATTTTGCAGTATCCTTCCCCTGCCACGCCCACCAAGCCACACCACGCCCACCAAGACACGCCCACAGAACTGGTAGTGAAAAAAATTGGATTTCACCACTGATGCACATCCTAAAATTTCATTTCTTGATAGCAGTGGCCATTATTTTCAAGAAATCATTCTTGCAGTTTTGTAAGAGGAAGGGGTATTATGGATGTTCGCTGCCTGGAGTTACTTTTACAGTAATAAAGGCAGAATAAAAATCAAGTCAAATCAATCAATAATTGAGGAAGACAGGAGCTGGGACCGATCAGTTACGAAGTTCAACACATTTAATTTCAGTAATTTAATGATTTGCCTACAGATATTAGGCTTGGATGCAAATTCCAAAAGCCCTTTTTTGAATTGTTCTTTGATTTCAGAATTACAGGATCATGAAACTAAGATTAGATCATCCCTCCTTTCCAGGAAAGTGTTGTCACATAGAGCCCGAGATTGTAATGACATACTGAAAAACTTGACTTCAGGCGGGAGCTTAAAAACAGTAAAGTAGGGGTGCCAAACTTGTTTTCATTGAGGGCCGCATCAGAGTTGTGTTTGACCTTGGGGAGGGCAGGGGGGCGTGGCCAGCTTGACATCACTCATGTTGGGGCACCTGTGGTGGCCCGAGTGCTCTGCCAACGAAAACGGGCTTCCGAGCTCCGTTTTCGGCTGCAACGGCCTCCTGCAACCCTCTGCCAACGAAAACGGAGCTCACGAGGGCTGCGCGCAGCTCTCCCGAACTCCATTTTCACTGGCAGAGGCGCCACGGGACGGTCCTTCATTGTTTCCAGGGTGTCCCCGTCGGCCAGATCTAAGCACCCTGCGGGCTGGATCCGGCCCCCGGGCCTGGAGTTTAATACCTCTACAGTAGAGGAACTGTAGGAGATTCCTTTTCTTCTTTGTTTTCCCATCTGTTCTTGCTCTATGCTGATGCTCACAGTACCTGCTCTTTTCAGAGACCGCTCAGCTTCTGCTACTTACTTTTGCAAACTGGATCCCGAAGCACCAGATCTACAAGAAGGTCAGATGCATGAAGAATGGCTCACTTACCGCAGGGTACCCAGAGATCAGAAGGAGTTTCCGTTCCGGAACCCGCAGGTATTGACTATCTCGGACAGTAAAGTTCCTTAACGCGGTCTTGAATATCACAAACTTCCATCAATTCATCAGATCTCTCTGTCAACCCTGAAGCTGATCTGACCGAAGGCATTTTGGAGCTTCAGTGTTGACACACTGGAGCTGAGAGACCGGGGGGGGGGGGGGGGTTGAGATAGTTGGGACTTTGTAGCCAAAATAAAATACTTGGGAACCAAGGACATTCTGGCACATCTGGTCAGAGGAAGGAGGAGTGATGTCCCCAGGCAACCAGACAGAGCCGTGATTGGACCATGTGACTGATTGTTTAGAGCAGTGGTTCCCAATGTGGGGCCCACACCCCAAAGTGGGGCAATTTGATTTTTAATGGGGGCAATTGGAACCTTGTTTAAACCAAGTTAATTGCCTTTTAGGCTTCCTCCACATGAGTAGGAGTTCACTTTTTGAATAGTAAGACTTATATGTCACGGGGGGGGGGGGGGGCATTAGGATTTTAGAGATGCTTAGGTAGGGCATGGCCCAAAAAAAATTGGGAAACTGGTTTAGAGAAAGTGAAAAACTTTTAATTAGGTGAAAACCGCGGGAACTTTCAGAGTCGGCTTTCACCAGATCTCCCAATATGATATATCCAATAATGCTATTCTTTGAGGAATCTACCTGCCTCGGGGTTTTGCTTGCTACGGGTGTATTACTTGGAACCCTGACACTCTCTCTGCATCCTGCTGTAATGTTGGCCTTAACCCTGTGTGTGTGTGATACAGAGAGTTGAGGAGCCAAAGGGTAATTCTAAAACTTTTTTCACTGCAGCTCCATCAAAGAGCAAACGAGTGCAAACGCGGATTCAGGCTGATCCAAAGCATCAACAGTGGCAAGGCTGTTAGAAACCTTCTGAGCTCGGATTTTGACCTCTCTACACTGAAGGTAAACATGCTGAGCCTCCACAGGCTCCGCTCCTTTAGAACACATGCACAATATTTGGTTCTCATCTTTAAAGCGCTCCATGGCTTAGGGCCAGGGTATTTACGAGACCGCTTTCTGCTACCGATAACCTCCCACCGGCCAATACGCTCTCACAGAGAGGGCCTCCTCAGGGTGCTGTCGGTCAAGCAATGTCGGCTGGCAGCCCCCAGGGGGAGAGCCTTCTCTGTGGGAGCATCCGCCCTCTGGAACGAGCTACCTCCCGGAATACGGCCGATCCCGGATCTCCGCACTTTCCGTAAGGCCCTGAAGACGTTTTTATTTCAGCAAGCCGGCCTGGCCTGAATAGGTTTTATGGGTTAGTTTTTTAATTGTATAGCTTGGGGTTTTAAATTGGGAGGCCGATTAATTTAATTTATTTTTAGTTATCTTAACTTTTATATTGTATGTTATTTTAATTTTCGGCTGTTCACCGCCCTGAGTCCCTTCGGGGAGAAGGGCGGGATATAAATTCAATAAATAATAATAATAATATTTAGATGGGTTATTTAGGAAAGAGGTGGGACTTGGGTCACCAGGGTACGATGCTATTTTTGTCCGATGGGCCCACTGGACTTCCCATCCATCCCCCTACCAACACAGCAGAGGTCTTCCTAAGGGGAAAGGAATTTTGGAAACCCATCTATCAAGGTTAAACACTATTGTATGAATGTCTGTGGAGATTCTCAGTCATCCAGGTCATGGTTGTCCCAAAGGTGCTTTTTCAGGAGGCAACTGGATTTTCTTGTTTTTCTTTGAAGATGTTTTGCTTCTCATCCAAGAAGCTTCTTCAGCTCTGACAGGATGGTGGGGAATGGAAGGATTGATATTCCTTGTAGACGGAGCTGGTCGTTTGCATCTTTTTAGAGCAGTGTTTCTCAACCTTGGAAGCTTGAAGATGGGTGGACTTCAACTCCCAGAATCCCCCAGCCAGCGCTGCTGGCTGGGGGATTCTAGGAGTTGAAGTCCACCCATCTTCAAGCTACCAAGGTTGAGAAACACTGTTTTAGAGGGTCGTTGAAGCCCTGGGTGATTTATCTGTGTCCTCAGGGTCACCTGAGTAGTGCAAATGGTTCCTGTAATCTGCAATGTTTTTTTCCTCTGGAAATCCATTCCTACTCTCACACCATTCAAAGGGTGTTCATCTCAAATTGCATAGCTAAAGGTCTGTAGAGATTCTCAGTCATCCAAGTCATGGCTGCCCCAAAGGTGTTTTTTCGAGAGGCAACTGGACTTTCTGGTTTTTCTTTGCAGATGTTTTGCTTCTCATCCAAGAAGCTTCTTTAGCTCTGACAGGATGGTGGGGAATGGAAGGATTGATACTCCTTGCAGACACCTGGTCCTTTTCATTCCTTTAGAGCAGGGGTCCCCAAACTTGGCAGCTTTAAGACTTGTGGACTTCAACTCCCAGAACTCTCCAGCCAGCATAGCTGGCTGGAGAATTCTGGGAGTTGAAGTCCACAAGTCTTAAAGCTGCCAAGTTCGAAGACCTCTGTTTTAGAGAGTTGTTGAGGCGATTGGGGAGGGATTGTCTGTGTCCTCAGGGTCACCTGAGTGGTGTAATTGGGTGTGGAGCCTTCTTGGAACTGTTGAAAGGAGTGTGTTATAGATAGGGGATAGGTGATGTCGTATCCCTCCCCCTCTGTTGAGAGAGGGCCATTCAGTTTTGACGTAGATGGCCTCTTTGACCTCTCTTTCAAACCAATTATCCTCTCTGTCCAAAATGTAGACTTTGTTGTCTTCAAAAGAATGGCTTTTGCATTTTATTGTATCAGTGCTTTTTTCTGTCTTGTATCTGAAATGTATTTTCCTGAATATGTGAGATACTTCGCTTTTGTTTTAAAGCTGACTTGCCTTTTGCTTTTTGGCAAAGAAGGAGCTGGCATCTTTTTATGGGCTTACCTCAGTGGGGAAATTCAAAAATTTTCCCTACCAGTTCTGCGGGCGTGGTTTGATGGTGGTGGGTCATGTGGCTGGGTGGGCATGGCCAACTTTTTTTTAACTTTTTAAACCATTTTTTAACTTTAAAAAGTTTTTTAAAAGGTTCCGATGATCGCGATGATCAGCTGATTGTCACAGCTGATCGTCACAGCTGATCGTCAGAAACTTTTTTTTACTTTTTTAAGCCTTTTTTTACTACCGGTTCAGGTGAACCAGCCGAAACCGGTAGCATTTCACCCCTGGCGTACCTCCCCCTTCCCTGGCAATCCCCCAGTTTATAAATCTAAACCAGAGGTTGCAACTGCTCCTGTCTCTCAATCCCAAAGGAATCCCTGTGATTTCAATCAGCCACCAGGGGGCGCCAGGACCTGTTCTTCTCATAGAAAGTGAACCCATCTGTGCATATGGAAAATATATATGAGAACAGAACCAGCAGAGAAATGAGATGATGATGATAGAAGAGCATATCTATAGCTCAGGGTTGAACTGAGTTTGGTGGCTTGCTTGCAGATGTTTCCTTATCCAACTAGGTAAGTGATGGTGTTACCTAGTTATGAAACATCTGCAAGCAAACCAAGCTCAGATAGCATCAAGGACTTCTCACATTATTATTGCTGGTCGCAGAGTCAGCCAGATGTTTAGGTTTGGCACGTTTACCCACTTGTTGAATCCTTCCCAATGACCTGGGATGGGCAAGTGTTGTTGTTTGATGGTGTTAAAGGTATAATCTCAAAATGTAAGCTGTTCCAAGTAAAGCTGCCTTTTGCAATTGACTGATGGGGATTTTGTCAATGCCTTGGTAACTGTAATTTCTAAGAGAAAGGGTGAAGATTAAAGGGAATTTAGAGACAGAGTTTTGAACTTTGGCTTGGAATGTATAATTATTTATTATTTATTTATTTATTTATTTTATTTCTATACCGCCCTTCTCCTGAAGGACTCAGGGCGGTGTACAGCCTAATTAAAAACACAAAGACAGACAAAATTTAAAAATAATTGAAATTATTAAATAATAGGCCCAATTTATAAAACCCCAAATACTTGTATTTGTGTGCATGTAAATGTGCATTCTGTAAACCACCAGGAATTAATAGTACAATACTGACAGCCAGTGGTGAAATCCAAATTTTTTTTTACTACCGGTTCTGTGGGCGTGGCTTGGTGGGAGTGGTGTGGCTTGGTGGGCATGGCAGGGGAAGAATACTACAAAATCTTCATTCCCACCCCACTCCAGGGGAAGGATACTGCAAATTCCCTCTCCACTCCTGGGGAAAGGATATTGCAAAATATCCATTCCCACATCCCACCCTGGGGCCAGCCAGAGGTGGTATTTGCCAGTTCTCCGAACTGCTCAAAATTTCTGCTACCAGTTCTCCAGAACCTGTCAGAACCTGCTGGATTTCACCCCTGCTGGCAGCTGGAAGATGTGCTTCAGCCTTCACAGATCTGATGCCTTCCAGAAGTGTTGTAGTATAATTCTCTGATTTTTCCTGTGGGAACATTGAAATGGGTTGGGGATATAATAGTTCTCTCTCTTCCATAAAAATGAGATATCCTATTTTTGATAGAATCCTAGATCTCCCCTTGTTCTTGTAAATGGATGGCCAGTCTGAGGTTTTCCCTAACTACAGTTCCCAACATTCCTCACTATAGGTAGTCCTCGTTACAACCATAATAGAGCCTTCTCATTACAGTCTTAAGTTGTGACGGTCATAAAATAGTGTTTTTTTATGTTGGTCAAATGCAATTTTTTTTGGTAAGACTTTGTTTGCGGCACTCATTAAGCAAACACAGCAGTTGTTAAGTGAGCCAATGATTCACTATGGGCATGCTCTTTGCAGAAAACAGGAAGTAAGTTCAGGTTTTTGAGAAAACGGAAGAATCACATAACTGTGAATCACATACTGCAAATACCATAATGCAATTCTGTTGCTGAGCACTGAATAGAGTCACATGACTGGGGTTGTCAACTTTTAGAACATCAGATCTGGGCCTTAAGTCCCCCTTTTCAGGCAGATGGTAGCTTCAAACAGTTGCTAAGCAACCTGTTGTAAGTTGAGGACTACCTGTAATGGACAGCTGGCTGGGTTTCCTGGGACCTGTAGTTCCCAGTAGCAGAATGGCAGATTTCATCACCATCCCTGGAGCCTTCCAATGTTGCCCACTTTGGAGATTCTTGGTCCATGACATTAATGAGCTGGTTTCCTTAACTGTCTCACCCCATCCCTTGCAGGACAATGTGGATCTGACCAAAGCAGTTGTCATGGGTCATTCTTTTGGAGGCGCGACAGCTGTGTTAGCTCTGGTCAAAGAAGCCCAATTTAAGTGAGTATCTTCCAGAACATCTTCTATGTTAAAGAAAATTGCAACTTCAAAGAGCTTATTAAGAACAAACAACAAACAAAGGAGCCGTGATGGTTAGAATGCAGTACTGCAGGTTAACTCACTGCTCACTGCCAGCAGTTTGATTCTGACCGGTTCAAGGTTGACTTAGCCTTCCATCCTTCCGAGGTTGATAAAATGAGGACTCAAGATTGTTGGGGGCAATATGCTGACTTTGTACATTGCTTAGAGAGGGCTGTAAAGCATCGTGAAGTGGTATATAAGTCTAAGTGCTATTGCTATGTGGGAAGCCAAGGTTTTTGGTCTCTTGCTTCACTAGATGCCCTGTGCTTATTTCCCTCCTGTAGATGCGCTGTTGCCCTTGATGCATGGATGTTTCCTTTGGAAAATTCTGCTTACCCAAAAGTGACCAAGCCGGTGCTGTTTATCAACACAGAATCATTCCAGACGGCAGAGAGCGTGGCCAAGATGAAAAAAATCAGCACTACCAGCAGTGAAAGCAAGATCATTACAATCCTGTGAGTCTGCCCGGTCTCCAACTGTGATCAACGCCTTTGCGTAGTAGTAGAGAATACACAATCAGAGGAGGTGTCATTCACAGATTAGACACACACACACACACATATATACACACAGCCTCTCCCTGCAGGCTTGCAGTCTAAGAAGATGTGACACAAGGAATGGGGGGGGGATGGAAGGGAGATGTTAAAAATAAGGTGGTATCTGAAATGAGAAGAGGGAGGGACCATTTAGGGGAAGAAAAGGGGAGAATCAGTAAGAAAAAGATGGTAAGCAACAAAGGACAGCATGGATTAGCAAAGCCTACAGAGTTGCATCCTTGTTAAGATAGCCTCTTTTTTTGGTAAGTCGTATAAAATTAATTTGGGATTTGGCATAGCCCAAAACCAGAGAATCGTTTTGACTCGAGAGGTGAAATGAATGCAAACTGGCCCCTTAAAACTGAGAGCCTTTGAAAGGAAGATGCTACCAGATGGATGTGTCTGTGTGTCTGGTTTCCCCCCCACCCCTGTTTTCCGTGCTGGTGCTGAAGGATGAAACACTCATAGAATGGTTTTGACGCTCATTTCAGGCAGGAATGCAAAGGCAGCATCAGGTCTGCTTCTTAAAATAGCACTGGCAAAGCTTTTTTGGCTGATTTTTGAAGAAGAAGAAGGAAGGGGAGGAAAAATCTCTGTCGTCTTGCTAAATAGTCAGAATCCCTTGTCCAAAAAAATCCCCTATATAGAGTTGCTTTATCTGCAGACAATGGATGGTTGTCTGAAGATGACAAAAACACATCACTTTCTCTCTTTCCCCCCCTTTAAGCTCTGCTAAAACAGATCCAGTGTTTTGTCTCATCTCTCTGTCTTTCCCAAAGAACTCTACTGCTAACATGGCGAAGGGAGTGTCTCAGGGGTGAAATTCAGTAGGTTCTGACAGGTTCTGGAGAACTGGTAGCGGAAATTTTGAGCAGTTTGGAGAATCAGCAAATACCACCTCTGGCTGGCCCAAGAGTGGGGAGGGAATGGAGATTTTGCAATAACCTTCCCCCAGGAGTGGGGAGGGAATGGGGATTTTGCAGTATCCTTCCCCTGCCACGCCCACCAAGCCACGCCCTCCAAGCCACGCCCACCAAGCCACACCACGTCCACCAAGCCACGCCCACAGAACCGGTAGTAAAAAAAAATTGGATTTCACCACTGATGCACATCCTAAAATTTCATTTCTTGATAGCAGTGGCCATTATTTTCAAGAAATTGTTCTTGCAGTTTCATAAGAGGAAGGGGTATTATGGATGTTTGCTGCCTGGAGTTACTTTTACAGTAATAAAGGCAGAATAAGAATCAAATCAAATCAATCAATAATTGAGGAAGACAGGAACTGGGACCGATCAGTTACGAAGTTCAACACATTTAATTTCAGTAATTTAATAATTTGCCCTGCCTACAGATACTAGGCCTGGATGCAACTTCCAGAAGCCTTTTCTTGTATTGTTCTTTGATTTCAGAATTACAGCGTCATGAAGCTAAGATTAAATCACCCCTCCTTTCCAGGAAAGTGTTGTCACATAGAGCCCGAGGAAAATTAAGTAGAGATTGTAACCGGTACTAAAAGAATTTGGATTTCACCACTGGGATATCTTAGTGCTGCAGTGTTTTCCTTTGTTTCACAAAGCACCAGAAATGGACATATTTATTTATTTTATTTTATTAAATTTCTATACCGCCCTTCTCCCGAAGGACTCAGGGCGGTGCACAGCCAGAAGATAAAACACAGAAATACAAAAATTTAAAATAGATTAAAAACGAATTAAATAATTTGGCTGAATTTAAAATACCCCATAATTTAAACAGATTAAAATTTGTATTTAAAATTTATATTTAAAAGGGGAGAAGATTTAGGCCAGGCCAGCTTGATGAAATAAAAAAGTTCATAAGGCAGTATCCCTCCATTGCTCTCCAAGGCAAATGCTTGGAAGCTAGGCTGCCTTCAAACATGGGAGTTTCATGCCGAGATTAAAGAAAAATTGGAAATTTCAGACGGTTAAGACCTCTTTCCAGCCACTGGATTTCACAGTGTCTTCTGAAACTCCAAATTGCCAGCTGGGTGTTCTTTCATTGCATAGACTTTCCCAGCAGATGTTGAAATGACCTTTTTTTAATTGCTAAATCTGGGAGATGTCCCATCTTTGGACCTGGGGATCCATTTTGGATCCTGTTCTTCTCAGTGATTCACTTTTAATGTTGATATATTTTTTCTCCTAGGGGTACCGTCCACCAGAGTCAGACTGATTTCACCTTCCTAGCCGGGAACCTTGTCAATCGGGTCTACAAGACAAGGGGTACCACTGATCCATACAAAGGCCTGAATATCACGAACCAGGCTGCTCTCGCTTTCTTACAAAAGCATCTCCGTAAGTCAATATCATGAAAGTTGTTTCTTCCTCTAAAAGAGACATCATCCTATGAAGAACAAGACACCCATCAGATAAAAGGCAAAATCAAACTAGGTTAATGGACAGCATTCAGGATGGGAACTGAGAAGAGCCAATTTCAGAATAACAGAGTTGGAAGGTACCTTGAAGGTCTTCTAGTCCAGGGGTCACCCAGCTTTTGGACCTCAGGGACCACTACATTCATAATTTTAAATCCCGTGGACCACTAATATGAATTAGTGACGGGATGGGGTCCTTCAGGCACTTAATTTGGCCACCTGTTAGCAGAGAGAAGCATCCCGGTCAACCCTAGCTTTGCTGTCCATTGCAGCTAGGAATCTCAAATACGGCCAAGAATGAACGTTTGTCTTGTAGCCAGCCCGGACACTAGATCATCCCCCTGCAAACTCTGTCTTTCGAGGAGCCCAGCTGAAGTTTCGTGCACCACTCACTGAAGCACCTGACTCCCAGGGAGGGAGGGAGGGGCTGGAGCTACTAAACAGGCAGCCAAGCTAAGTGCCTGAAGGACCCCATCCCGTCAGCAAGCGGGATTAATTGCTTTGGTGGGCCATATCCGACCCTGGGGGCGTAGTTTGAGGATCGCTTATTTAGTGCAATATAAAAAATGCAAAGTTTTTCTGCGGACTACTAAAATTTTATCACGGACCACCAGTGGTCCACGGACTACCAGTTGTTGACTGCTGTTCTAGTCCAACTCGCTGCAGAAGCAGAAAACTCTACATCATTTCAGATAAATAGCCATCCAATCTCTTCTTAAAAACTTCCAATATTGGTGTACCCACAATCTCCGGAGGCAAGTCGTTCCACTGATTAATTCTAACTGCTCTAACTAATTCTAACTGTTAGGAAATTCCTCCTTAGTTCTAGGTTGCTTCTCTTTTTGATTAGTTTCTATCTGTTGTTTCTTGTCCTGCCTTCAGGTGCTTTGGAGGATAGGTTGACCCCCTCTTCTTAGTGGCAGCCCTTAGATTTTGGAACACTGCTATCATGTCTCCCCTAGTCCTTCTTTTCATCGGATTAGACATACCCAATTCCTGCAACCGTTCTTCATATGGTTTAGCCTCCAGTCCCCTAAACATCTTCGTTCCTCTTCTCTGCACTCTTTCTAGCATCTCAACATCTCTTTATATTGTGATGACCAAAACCGAATGCAATATTCCAAGTGTGGCCTTACCGAAGCATTATAAAGTGGTACTAACACTTCACGGGATCTTGATTCTATCCCTCTGATAATGAAGCCCAGGACTGCGTTGGCTTTTTTTGCAGCTGCAGCACACTGCTGGCTCATATTGAAGGGATTGTCCACTAGGACTCCCCAGATCCTTCTCACAGTTACTGCTATTGAGCAAGGTACCACCATTTCACCAGTTTGCCTTCTCCTAAGTGCGTGTGCTCACTCTGCATGGCACAGTAACTCTTTTATGAATGGGCAAATCCTTCCATGCTATTTCTAGAAAGTGTCACCAGATGCCTTTAAATTTCCAAATAGGTCAACTGATGAAAAAGGGTGTTCTATCCCCTATTGAATTTCATTGCATAATGCACTGGAAGACTCAAAAATGGTGAGGGTGACAACAGTTAGTCGTTAGAACTTAGCACCATAGCCTCTTGATCAGTGGTAGAATTCAATTTTTTTTTTACTACCGGTTCTGTGGGCGTGACGTGGCTTGGTGGGCATGGCAGGGGAAGGATACTGCAAAATCTCCATTCCCACCCCATACCAGGGGAAGGATACTGCAAAATCCCCATTCCCTCCCCACTCCTGCAGGAAGGATACTGCAAAATCCCCATTTCCACCTCACTCTGGGGCCAGCCAGAGGTGGTATTTGCCGTTTCTCCGAACTACTCAAAATTTTCACTACCGGTTCTCCAGAACCTGTACCTGCTGAATAGCATCCATGCTCTTGATGCAATAACACTTTGATTTCTCCATCTAGAGCTCAAAGAAGATTTTGACCAGTGGGATAATCTTCTGGAAGGCATAGGAGACTCGGTGGTCCCGGATAGTCCCTTGGCAAAGCCTAGCCTCTAGGCAAGAAATATCTCTCCCCAAATTGTTTTGGGGCACCTTCTGGATTCCCCTCCCCCCCTTTGTTTGAGGGGATGGAAAGCATCCTTGATCTAAAATTGCTCTCCAGATGTTGGACATTCTGCCGAATTGCTCTTCATGATGATGGACATGTTGCTGAGACCTCCTGCTATGACGGCTTCACCTCTTTAGAAAGCATCATCTGCCTAGAAACAGTTTGAGTTATTGCCTTAAATGTGCCTCTCCTTCTACCAGGACTACAGCAAGAGCTTAAGAAAAGGATGGATCTAATTGCGAGTGAAGAAATGGAAATAAATTGGGGTGGGTGGAGGTGTAATCCTCGGGAAAATCTGCTTGCACTTTAAAGTAAACTGTAGCAGGAAAACCACAATTTCACTGCCTAGAATCTGCTGTCTTGCTATCCTGCTTGCATCTTTTTCCAACTTGTGTGCCAAGAACCAGAAAAAGAAGAACTACCATGGTTTAAAGCAGCGGTGAAATCTAAAATTTTTCCCTACCGGTTCTGTGGGCATGGCTTGGTGGGCGTGGCAGGAGAAGGATACTGCAAAATCTCCATTCCCACCCCACTCGGGGGCCAGCCAGAGGTGGTATTTGCCGGTTCTCCGAACTACTCAAAATTTCCGCTACCGGTTCTCCAGAACCTGCAGGATTTCACCCCTGGAAAGCTATTAATTGCAGCTATGAAGCTGGATTGAAAAGATCCTTCCTTTACTACCTTGGTAGAGTAGGCAAAAAGGAATATATACCCACCCAACAATATTGTGGCAGAAAATCTGTAAAGAACATACGCGATGCAAGAGCTTAAATCATTTGGAGGTCTGAGCATCAAACCGTTAAATCTTCATTTGGACCCATTTCCCACAGAAAAGAAAACACCGGGAGCCACAAAACCTGGGTGGGTGTGGTCAACTCGATGTCACTCACTCCCACCCAGTCACATGACACACACCCAGCCACGCCTACCCAGGTTTTGTGGCTCTCAGTGTTTTCTGTGGGAAACAAGTATCTCTGTGTGTGTGTGTCTCTTTCTCTCTCTCTCTCCTCTCAGGCCAGGTGAAGAGTGACTAGAAGGGGAGGGTGAGGGGTGGGGCCAGCCAGTAGTGGGTTCAGCCGATAGGGAGCCACATCAGGGAGATGAAAGAGCCGCATGCGGCTCTGGAGCCGTGGGTTGCTGACACCTGCTCTAGAACAGTGTTGGTGAACCTTTTGGGCACCGAGTGCCGAAACAGGAACGCGTGCCGGAAACCGGAAGAGCAGCTACCTGGTGCACCTGCGCGTGCCGGGAAGATGATCTTCCGGTTTCTGGTGCGCGCATGCACACTACCCACATGGTCTTCTGGTTTCTGACACTCGTGTGCACGAGGAGACCAGCTGGCCGGTGTGCATGCACACACCAGAAACCGGAAGAGCAGCCGCCTGGTGCGCATGCGCGCACTGGAAAGATGATCTTCCGGTTTGCAGTCAGCTGGTCTTCGTGTGCAAATGTGTGCCAGAAACCAAAAGACCAGGTGGCCGGTGCATAGGTGCATGTTGGAAACCAGAAGATCATTTTCCCGGTGCGCGCATGCATACCAGGCAGCTGCTCTTCCGGCTTCCAGCATTCCCACGCATGTAAAGATCAGCTGGCTGGCGTGCTGGAACCCGGAAGAGCAATGGGCGATAGCTCACATGCCCAGAGAGATGGCTCTGTGTGCCACTTCTGGCACACGTGCCACAGGTTCGCCATCTCGGCTCTAGAACATGGTCTGATGTACTTCAGATGAACAGGTGAGCTTACACTACAGCGTACAAACAATTCCTTCACATGCAGTTCAAAGCGTTGGTTGTTATCACTAAAATCCTTCGTGGCGTTGAACCTGGTTATCTAAAGGACCATCAGACTTCTGTGGCTTGCATCCAGCCTGGGTAATTGGGCAGAGTGACCATGTTCCAGGTCATCTATTAAGCAGTGTCTTCAACATATCTTCTCCATCACGGTGCTTGAATGTGGGACACCTTCTCTCTGTCCCCTAGTTAAGCCACGTTCAAAAGGCCTCTGAAAACCTGAGACTTTCTCCAGGGTTTGGGTTAGAGGCCGTGTAGCAGCCTCCATGTGTTGGATGGTCTTTTAATGGTTATTTTCCTTTCTGGCATTGGGGGTGAGAAGTAGGGTTTGCTTGTATTATATGATTGTTTTTACTGTACACTTCCAGACTCCTCGTAGAGTTGAGCAGCCGTGCACATTTCTAAAATAAATAAAAATGAAACTCTGTTCTTTTATTCAAAGGCTTTGGCTAAAACTATCCCAGCTGTTCCAGCCACACTCTACACCCCCAGCCTGGGACGAGACAGTGTGCAGGCTATTCAGTCCTGACAGAATAAATCAAAACTGGATCAAGTGGTTATTTTTGAGGCCACCAGTTCAACCATTCTGGGCTCAAACATTCCCCAGACTTCAGTTAAATACAGATTTCGAGTTGACCGTAATTAGCTGTGTTCACTGCACAAGGCTAAGCCATAAAGCAGTTTGCAAACCAGATAGCTGGGCCTATGCACACCGTGCCAAACTACATTGTGGCTTGACACAATGCTTGAATCTGGCAAATTATTTTCCATGGCAAAAGTGATTAAAATAAGCAAGACTGTTTGCTGGGAGGGGTGTTTATCCTGGAAAACTGATTCTGCATGGGCCACTTTCCTAGAAAGTTAAATATACAATTTGGCAAAGTTTCTGGATTCCATAGGAGCAGTGTGCATAGATCCATTTTTGGAAGAAAACAATCTAAATTAATGAAGTTTTGCTGATAATCTCCATTGAAAGGCATTTTGCAGGGACTTCCTTTGTACATTGTTTAGACATTTAAGCTTGTACTGTATAGAACTCAACTGCCAGCTGTTGATCTGCAGAGACCATATTGCTTCTTTCCCTGTTCTGCTTCCATGCAAACTATTTAGCTTTGGTCAACAGAAAGTTCATGACCTCTGGCTGAACAAAAAGCCCAGCTATGGTTGGATTAAAGTTTGGCTTGTTTTAACTATGGTTAATAGAATATACCTGTGATGGTGAACCTAAGGCACAATGCTTGAATCTGGCAAATTATTTTCCATTGCAGAAGTAATTAAAATAAGCAAGACCGTTTGCTGGGAGGGGTGTTTATTCTGGAAAACTGAGTCTGTGGCACGCGGAGTCATGTCACCTGGCACATGCGGCATTAGTGTTCCTCTTCTAGGTTTCTGTCGCACATGTGCGTACGATGATCAGCTGGCCTTTTTCCATGCGGCAGTGCCGGAAACTAGAAGAGCTGGTCTTCCATTTTCCTGTGTGAGTATGCACGCCGACCAGCTGATCGTTGCGTGCGCATGCACACCAGAAACCCGGAAGTAGCTGGCTAAAACCGGAAGTTCAGTAGCTGAAACCGGAAGTTCATTTTCAGGTGCGCGCATGCGCCCTGGGCAGTTCCTCTTCCGGGTTGCGGCCCAGACGAGTGTGAGCGCTCCTTTTTCAGCACTCAGTGCCGAAAAGGTTCACCATCACTGGAATATACCATAATTTCCCAGGTAAATATAAGATGCTAAACTGTAAACCATGACTCAGAATGGCTGGATTCACACACCATACTACAGTGAAGCCAAGCAAGCAACATTATAGCATAGTACATGAGTACAAGCTATCTCAGGAATTCTGGGAGTTGAAGTCCACAGGTTGTAAAAGGGCCACAATTGCCCACTCCTGGCATAGTATGTTGTTTGAAAGAGAATAACAAAATGCTGGAAGGGACTTTGGAGGTCTTCTAGTCCAGCTCCCTGCTCAAGCAGGAGACACTATACCAGGGGTGTCAAACTCAATTTCATTAAGGGGTGCATCAGAGTTGTGTTTGACCTTGGGAGACGAGGGTGGGTGTGGCCAGCTTGACATCACTCGTGTCGGGGGCACCTGCATGGGCCCGTGCGCTCTGCCAGTGAAAATGGGCTCTTGAGCTCCGTTTTTGGCTGTGATGGCTTCCTGCAACCCTCTGCCAGTGAACACAGAGCTCGGGAAGGCTGCCCACAGCCCTCCTGAGCTCCATTTTCGCTGGCAGAGGCACCGTGGGCTGATCCTTTGCTGTTTCCATGGCGGCCCCACGGGCCATATCTAAGCACCCCACGGGCCGGAACTGGCCCGTGGGCCTTGAGTTTGACACCCCCTGCTCTACATCATTTCAGACCAATAGCTGCCCAATCTCTTCTTAACAGCAACAACGGAGTTGGAAGGGACCTTGGCGGTCATCTAGTCCAACCCCCTGCTCACGCAGGAGACCTGTACTAGGGATTCGAACCGCCGAACTGCCGACCTTTCTGATCGACAAGCTCAGTGTCTTAGCCACTGAGCCACCTAGTCAGACTTAAAAACGTCCAGTGAAGAGGCTGTGGAGCATTTAACGGTCTGTTCAAGAACACTGTGCCGTGTGAAGGAATGTATCCAACAGTTGTGTTGCACCAGAAACAAGCAGCAGCCGAAATATTTGGTAAGGTAGATGGTTCTTCCTCAGACTGAAGGGTGTTTACAGTTGGAGACGTTGCGTAAGAACCTTTATGGAAGATCTCCAGAACCGGAATGGTTGCGAATGGACTGCTGGGTGCGGCAAGAAGAGTAGAAAGATAAGATAAATAAAAAGATACCTTGGTTGAAAACAAGTCTGACAATGGAGCTTCTCAACAAAAGGCAGCCTAGTCATTTCCTTTTTTTAGCCGCACCAGAGGACGCGAAGTCCCATTTCCAGTCTTGCTTTCGCATTGCTGGGGATTTGTTCTGACAGCCACACAATTGTTCAGGGAATCTGTTATGTCTTGTCCCGTCTTATCCTCAGGGCGGTCACGTGCGAGAGAAAGACACGCTTCAGAGGAAGCCATTCAGTTACGGTTACATAACAGGAAGATGGAGAAAGGAAGGAAGGGAGCATCAAGGCCTCAAAAGCAGATGACGTGGTGACCCCTGGAGCTGTCTTTGCAAAGGCTGAAGCTCCTTTTAGTGCTTCTTAACTCTGACTGTTCTGTGCAATTGTTCCCAAACAGAGTTTCAGGGTTTCTTTTCACGTAGCATACTGGGAAAGGTTTTGCAGCTGTAGGAGCGCACTTGAACATCCAAAATAGACTGTTTCTTCAGGAGAAACGTCCTTCTCAAGGGAGACAAAGACGGCTGCTAGCAAAAGCTTTATCCTACTGTGAGCATCTGCCTCCCTTTGAGAACCAGTCTCCATGGGTCTTTAAAGACAGCAAGCAGCAGCAGACTCTGGAGGAGAGAGGTTTTGCTCTATCCAGAGGCCAAAAGGAACAAGCCCTCAACATCTGGAAAAAGACCATTTCTTTCCGTTGGAAGATTTTCCTCTTTGAAAAACCCAACCTCCAAGGAACGGAGGAAGCCTGGTGATGGTGTCCCCTTAACTCCATTCCTTGACTAGTGCTGAAATGTTGGAACTCTTCTCCATTTTTATTTATTTATTTTGGATAGGAGTAAAGAATAGGGGGATAGAATTTTTAAAAGTTAAAATAGGTGCCTTGAGCTTGAGCTTAGAGGTTGAATGTATCTCTTTTTAAAAAATAATAATAATACAAGCATTGTGCTAACCATAGGTTCCTCTTTTTCTGACAGCATGAGCTTGGATGTTATGATTGGTGAAACATGGTTTGTTTGTAGTACAGCATGTGGTGTGAATCCAATCCGTTTTGGTTTATAGGTAGTCCTCTACATGATCACAGTTGGGAGCAGAATCCTCATTGCTAAGGAAGGTGGTTCTTAAGGGCTTGATTTTATGACCTGTTTTGCCATGATTGATAAGCAAACTGTCGCAGTTGTTAAATGAATTATGCGGTCATTGAACAAATCTGACTTTCCTCATTGACTTGGTTGAATAAAGAATTCTATTCTATTCTATTCTATTCTATTCTATTCTATTCTATTCTATTCTATTCTATTCTATTCTATTCTATTCTATTCTATTTGGTGGATGGCTTATATAATTATGATATAAATTTAAATAGCTGTCCAGTGTATGTTAATCTATCACGGTACGGCAATGGTTGGATTTAAATAGCAGGAACACTGATATTCATTGATTGCATTGGCTTATATGAAATCATTCAGGTGGGGGAGAATTTCTAAGTAGAGAAGAATTATAGAACCATAGAATCCTAGTCCTGTTTCAAAGCTGGAAGATGAATTAGGAATGCTCAGTGTGTATTCTGCGGCTACATGTATAAGCTTTATATTCCATTAATGGTACCATCTGTCATTTCACAAATAGAGACGCCAGTGTCTGCTTCTGCTTCTGCTCCCCAATTTTATTTTTTGCTATCATCTGTCTGTCTTATCATCTATCCATTCATCCATCCATCCATCCATCTCCAGCTGCTTTATTCTTTGCCTCTGCAATTTCTTTGCTGTCTCGAATGACAAAACGGCCCTGGTGAGAGTGTCAGATTACTCATACAAAGATGACCTACTAAAACTCATGAACATTTAGCAGACTGCCTTTTCGTTCTGTAGCCTCAAGCACAAAAGAAATGAAATGTATGCATATGGTCGGGGCATAGAATTTATGCAAGCAGCAGAGGTTAAGAAGGGGCAGCGCTTCCATCACTTCATTGTGGTTGCCATCTTCTGTTTTTGACCTCCCTCCATAGGTCATCTTGATGAATATGATCAGGTTATTTTTGATCTTTGGGCTAATTTCTACTTATATTGATATTTAGTTAAGCTCCCTTAGTGTTGTCCAAAGACTACTGATAAAGTCATCAAATGCAATATTGTATTTGGACAGCAACGTTAAAAAGGCACCTTGAAACTCCTTAAAATTGGCATTTGTTTTCTGCAAAACTCTACAGCAGTGTTTTTCAAACTTGGCAAGTTTAAGAAACATGGATTCTTTCCAACTCCTAGAAATCCCCAGCCAAATGGCTGAGTGGAGAATTCTGGGAGTTGAAGTCCACATGTCTTGACGTTGCCAAGTTTGAGAAACACTACTCTTGTGGGTTCTTAGAGGATCAGATGAGGACAAATGAGGAGTCTAACTGATTTCATTGCCAGATTTTGGAGTATGTTTGGGCCAGATGCCCCCTATAGCAATCGAATTTAGACTTCTACACCGCTTCACAGTGCTTTACAGCCCTCTCTAAATGATTTACAGAGTCAGCATATTGCTCCCCAACAATCTGGATCCTCATTTTACCCACTTCGGAAGGATGGAAGGCTGAGTCAACCTTGAGCCTAGTGAGATTTGAACTGCCAAATTGCAGGCAGCAGA